TTATTATTATTATTATTATTATTATTATTATTATTTCTTTTTATTGTTATCTGTGTGTGTGAAATGTGATCAAGCATTACATGAAAAAAAATAACAAAACCTCATAACGAATCTTTTTTTATTTCTTTTCTTTTTTTTTTCTTTTTCTTTTTTTCACGTAACGCATATTCCTGCTCTTCACATTGTGTGTATATTTAGCCTTCTCTGGACTGTGTAGAACCCAGAAGGGCACGCTGGGCTCACCGGCACTACTAACTGTATTGGTAGAAGAGAGACCAAACAGGGATTCAAACAAAGAGCTGGATAGAACGAACAAAACAAAACAAAGAAAACAAAAACAATTACAGAAAATATTACAAGAAGACAAACACTCTATCATTATCACCACCAACAATAACAACAAGGAAGAAGAAAAGATCCCCCAACAAACACTACAATCTATATACACAATCTATATACACAATCTACAAACGAACAAACAAACAAACAAACAAACTCCTGTTTCAATTTACATATTAATTAGCAAATGGAGCAGCGGGTGGGTGAAGTAACACTCGGTGTGAGACTCGCCACGCGGTATGTGCCCAATCAAATTCTCGCCTCCACACTTTCATGGGGTTCACTCCTCGGCGTAACGGAGGTCGCGCGACTGGAGCGGGCCTTCGCCAAACACACCGTCACCCACGATGGAGATCCCGCCCTCACACGGGAGTGGTTTGTGTATGTGCTTATGGGTATTCTCGCAGAGAAACTGCATCGACAACGCAATAGTGCTCTCTCACTGGGGAGTGATAGTAGTAATGGGGGTAGCAGAAGAACCAGCGACAATAATAATGAAAATAATAATAATAATGATAATAATCAAAATGATGATGATGATGATGATGATGATGATAATGATGCTAGTAGTAATAATAGTCTTGGTGATGATCATGATGATGACAAGAAAAAGGAGAAGACGACGACGACAACAACAACAAAGAAGAATACCAATAGCAAAGAAAATAATAATAATAATAATAATAATAATAATAATAATAATAATAATAATAATAATAATAATAATAATAATAATAATAATAATAATAATAATAATAATAATAATAATAATAATAATAATAATAATAATAAAGATCACACCACTACTAATGGTACTGATACTGCCGCAGCAGCGACTAAAACGAACACCAACAATTCTGCCGGTACTCTACATACAACTTCCAATACCTTTCTTACCACACAGGGATCATATGATGATATCACATTACAGGATGAAGTACTATTACAAAAATATAAAGAGGAAATCTTAAAATGGATCAGTTCTTTTTCAGTGCAACTCTCTGTTCATGACCCTCTTTGGGATGTTTGTGAAACAAGTAATGAGGAACTCGCAAGAATAGAAGCATCAGCTTCTAATTCTTTTATGGCTACTATGAGTGCTCATACAAGTCCTACACATAGAAGAAGTAATAAAACAAATAATACCAATTACAAGATGAATAAATATGAAAATGCAGAAGGTAATGAAACCAAAAGACGAGAAAAAGTAAGTACTGTAACTTCTTCCGTTCCCCCTACATTTAAACATCCAGTATCTGTCGTTTCATCTACAGGATTAACTCGTAAAAAAACAATTCAACATGAAATAGTACGTTGGAGTGATCTTACAACAAATTTTGTACGTGACTATGAACATTTTCATCGTTTTGATGAAAAGGAATTATCCTTTACACGCGTACGAACAGAAATGTTTTCAGGAATGACCTCTCCTAAACGTCCCTTCTCTAATAAAGAACGAGGAGGAGGAGTTGCTGGTGGAGTAGGAGGAGGAGGAGGAGGAGGAAGAAGAATAGAAGAAGAAAACTGGTCTAGAGTTTCTCGACAGATGAAAGATGCAGAAGCCGATGCTCTTATGGGAAATGAAATGCATCTTCAATCCGCAGATCACATACTCATCTCATCTCAAACAGGTTGTATTATTACTACTAGTAAAGATGGTATAGTGAAATTATGGGATAGTAGTACAGGTGTTTTTATTCGAAATCTCTATAATGCAGGTACTGCATGGGTTATTGGGATGTTTCTTTTACATGATGATGATTATATCCTTATAGCTACTACGGATAGTCAATTAACAGTATTAGATTTCCCAGAAGGTAATGTTGTTCAAAAGTATGTGGGATGTCGATCTATGTTAGCAGCTTCCCCTACAGTTCCACAGTTATCCGCTCTGCATGTACAAAGATATGGAATTAAACCAGGAGGATGTGGAGCCTATCGTGTCGTTTTACAAAAGGATGAACCACCAGAACAATATCATAGACGTCGACGTGAGGCTCAAAATAATGTATTACCAAAGAATATTCCCGCAAAGCCAGTGGTTGGATTTTTAACACCTACCACCTGTTGGTTTGAGAGTTTCTCTGGTATATTTTTCTTTGGTACTTCTGATGGTAGTGTTGGGGCATTTGATATCGCGGCGGATGTACGTCCAAGTACACTATTAGCCGGACCTAATAACAAACCGGTTCGATTATTATTTTTAATGGAAGCTCATGTAGGAGCTGTGGTGGGAATGTTTTACACATCTTATGCCACTTCTCTCTTTACAGCAGGTGCGGATGGATTTATTTACCGTATTCCACTTGGTCCAACATCAGAACCCACAGGAGAACTTCGTCCAGTGGGTCATAAATCTAAACCGATTCGTCTTATGCAATGGGCATCCCCTTCAAAATGTTTTGTTACAATTCATGTGGATAGACGTGTGGTGATTTGGGTTATTGGACGATATGGAGATCCACTGCATTCTTTTCCTCCTGAAACACAAGAAGTGGTTAGTGCGGCATTACATCCAAAACGACAACGATTGGCTATTATGCTTTCGGATAAAACTATTAAAGTATATGATACTCATGGGAATAAGTCTCTTACCACTATTACACAACCAACGCAAGAGTTAAACTTAACAGCAACAGATGCATCAAAACAGATGATGGAACAGTCGGCTCGTGATTTAGATGGTGTAGTGGCATGGCATCCACATCATTCTTCTCTTATTTGTTGTTTACGGGCAGTCGTTATTTATGAACCGACAAGAAATCATCAAGAAGAAAATTATGATGGTACTTCTATTCCTTCCATTGCATCAGAGAGTAGTTCATCCACTTCTACAGAGATATCTGAGGAACAGAAAAGTAATAATGCTATTCGCATGAGACGTCCATCCATTTCTCCTGGAAGTATGAGACGTATGGATACACATTCTGGTGGAGTTGTTGCTATTGCGGTACATAAACAATTATCTGAACTTTATTCCTTTGATGAAAAGAGTTGGAGAGTATGGGATGTAAATACAGGGGCATTAAAACGACATGTAGATGTTCAACATGCAGTACGATTAGAACACTTACCTATCAAACAAGCAACAATAGCATCTTGTGCATGGACAACAGCATTACAAACACGTCTAATGACTGGTGGTCAAGATAGTTCTCTGCTTACATGGGATCCAGCAACAGGGGCTCCATTAGCGGTAGAAACACTTGTTCAAGATATTACAGAACAATTAGACTCGGATGTATCTCTTATTTCACACCGTAATAAATTAATAGCCTGGAGTGGACGAACTTGTCGAGTGACAACATTTAGTACAGGTAATTTACTTCCAAATGGTGTGGAAGAAAGTAAAAATGTTATCATTCGTATACCTTCATTAACATCTATAACAGCTTGTTGTGTTGTGCGAGATGCATATCTTTGCTTTGGTGCTGGGGATGCACGTATTTATTTTTATAGTATTAGAGGTGGATCACCCACACATGAATGTGCTCTTAGAGAAAAAAATGAAGATGAAAAAGGAGCAGTCGTACAACTTGTATTTTTAAATGAACAAAATCAAAACCTTCTTATTGTTTTTTTAGATACTGGTATTCTCTTTGTTTATTCGTATATTAATCAATCGGTGATCTATCGTATACGTTTAGTTCGTCGTTTTGAATGTCGTATTCGAAAAGTATTATATATTCCTGAAGATGGTCTTACAGTCTATGGAGATTCCATTGGTCGAGTTCGAGCTCTTGATGTTCGTGGTTGTACATCTGTTCAAGTAGACTTTCGTCAAACATTTGTTACTCGATTTACCCTTCAAGGTGCTACAGATGAAATTACATCATTAGATTACTTTACAGCTATTGGAAGACGTCATTTACTTGTTGGTTCACTAGATCGTTGTGTACGTCTCTTTCAATTGGAAGATGGATATAATTGGGGAGCCTCTATGTCTACACATTCCGCCTCACCAGGTTCTATGCGATTTTCACCTATTATCAATGTAACGTTTGTAGGAGTTTTTGGTCGTGATGTATGGGATCTTGAAGATGTAGAGACATTTAGTGAAAGACCTACAGTTATACCTCGTAAGTTGGTAACCAATACCGCAGAAGAAGAGGCATTACTTGAAAATATTGTAAATGCCGATGTACGACCTGATAGTGTTAAGAGTGCTATGGATTCCTTAACAGAAGAAGATGGAAGTTTTGCACGGGCACGATCTCGTAAAGGGGCGAGAGGTCAATCCGCATCTCCGGCTCTACACATGCAAGCAACACCACCACCACCACCACCCGCACCCGCACCATCTGGACGAAATTTCTTCTTAACCGATCTCCAACACATGCATGATGATACAGGTAGACCACACTCCTTATCTTTTATTTCCTCCACTGATAGTGTTAAACAACACTTCCAACAACAGGGATCACCATTACCACCATCTCCATCAGAGGCGGGTGGTGTACTTCTCTCACGCGGTGGGGATCGTCAACTCACCTCCGGTGGTCTTGGACGACGTTTACAAGGACGTACAAAGTTGTGTTCCCTGCAAACCACTTCCTACCCATTACCAAATGCCAGTGAAAACGCCATGGGATTATCACAGGCAGATCCTCTCATTATAAATTCTCCCGCAGAGAGTGCCACTCCACTTCCAAACGCCACAATGGATACATCCGGTGTACAGAAGATACGAACAATGCTGCAGATCATGACTCAACGATTGGAAGCTGTGCAGCCAAAGGGCCACGCCAAAGGGGAATTCCTGCGATTAATGGAACCATTGAAAGAAGGAGATACACTTTTAAGACGCAGTAAGAATCATCGTCATCGCTCTGGAGGGGAGGAATTGCAAATGGCATTGGAGACACGTCGTCAACTCGCTGAGAGAATGGAAGAATATAAAAGAATGAAGGAAATGCGGCGACGGGCAAAGAAAGATTTTCCACCACTCGTCTCGGCAAGATATCATCTTACACCTGTTGTGATTCCCCAACCAACTGCCCTTCGACCAGATCCAATGACGGCACTTGGTCGAGTGTTTGAGACCCCACATGTGGCATTTCCAAGCGAACCCTCCGTAAAGGCAGGTGGGATTATGTAAAGTACAATGAAAAAAAAAAAAGAAAAAATGGAAAATGGAAAAATCCTTTCAAGAAGGATAAATAGAAAAAAGAAAAGAAAAAGAAAGAACACCTCGAGTAAGAGAGTGAGAAAATAGATTGGTGAGGTGAATTATATAGATGTACAGTTTTTTTTTTTTTTTGGAACGTTTTCCTTTTTTTTTTTTTGTTTTTTTTTGTTTTGTTTTTGTTCTTGTTATAAAACTCTTGCAAGTATACTATATGGTTAGTTTTCTTTTGTGTTTCTTCACTGAAATGGTTTCCTTACATGTATATATACTTACATTCTTCTTATTCTTAAAAAATATCTTTTCTCCTGTATCGCTATGTATAACTCGTGAAATCACTTTTCTCTCTCGTTTTTTTCTTTCTTTCTTTCTTTCTTTCTTTCTCTATTTAACTCTCAACATTACTTTTTCACTGCAACTGAAAGGCATTCTCCACCCCTTTCTCCCTCTCCCCTTACTATACAATCATAGTTTATTATTTATTATTTATTATTATTATTATTATTATTATTATTATTATTATTATTATTATTATTATTTATTATTATTTAGTGTAGTGTGAAATGGCGTACCTTGCACAGTCCCCTACCGAGGCGTCATTTCTTAATACCTCTGTCCACACCAAACAGATACCCGAAAACGATGATGATCTCTACCGTAAGGCAGTTGATTTCACAGATGTGGAACGAATTCTTCTCTCCTCAGCAGAGGAAAGTGGGTTTCGCCGTATTACACAAGACACCACCTGTGATATCACTCTCTATAGTCGCCCTGTAGAGAACTGCCCAATTCATCTCATGCGTGCAGAGGCATTTCTACCATGTCCACCAACGCAATTACTGGCCTACTTGGATGTCTCAACAAGACGAGAATGGGATGATCACATTGCAGAATTGCGAAGTGTGCGAACTCTACAACGACCACGTGATTTAATGAAAGGTAATAATAATAATAATAATAATAATAATAATAATAATAATAATAATAATATGGATATCATAGATGTAGTGGAAGGCACTGGACAGAAATTGCGGGTCTTGCAGCCTGGACAAAGGCGAGTAGCATTACATTACATGGCAATACGATCTCCAATCCCTCTTGTACAGAATAGAGATTTTGAAATGGTTGTATCGGAGGAAGTGCGTCGTGATGGAACTGCGTGGTTAAAGGCATTCTCCACTCCACTTGGATATGTGGAGCCATTAGACCCACGACAGTCAAAGTATGTGAGAGCACTAATGCTCTTCTCTGGGGTTCTTGCAAAACCTATAATAGATGCAGAGGGTCAAGAGAGGTGTCGTCTTAGTTATGTGGCTCTAGTACATCCAATGGGACTCATTCCCTCTGTTCTTGTGAATATGGTATTGGGAGCACAGTTAAGTGCATTGAGAAAGTTACAGAAATTCATTACACTGCATCCACTACCTACACTATGTGCAGAATCTGAGACACGTGCTAAGGAAATGAATAACCATGATAAAGCTACTATTAGTGGTAGTGGAACTAGTAATAGTAATAATAGTAATAGTAGTAGTGACAACCATAATAACAAGACCAACAATAACACTATTACTATGGCAAAAGAAAGTAGTGGAAAAAAAAGAGGTCAAGAAACAACTACTGATTTCTCAAAGAAAAGTCGTAGTATCGTAGAAATAGAAAGGGAAGGTAATGGAGACCAAGAGAAGAAGGAGTTAATAGCAACAACGAAAAGAAGAAAAAGAAGGACTGATAAAGTACGGAGACGAATTTCTTCACTAAAAGATGGAATGGTAGATTGGTTATTCTCCAATCTCTAATTGGTAAGTCCAGGATAGTGATTGTGGACATGTCGTGTAAAAATCATTGAGCATGAGTTTATCATGCGTGTACAAGAAGAAACACATACATATAGAGGCATTAACAAAAGAAAAAAAAAATAGAAAGGATCATATATATATATATATATAAGCAAGTATTAGCATCCAATTATGTTTTCTGCTTTCTGCTATTTTTTTATGTTCTCAAATTTATATTTCTTTTTTTTTTGTTGTTGAAATTCTTTCATAACATAAAATAGGGTGAGAGAAGGCGTGCAAACCAATTTACATTCTCATACATACACACGCACACAAACAAACAAACAAAAGAAAAAAAAACAAGAAAAAAAGAAACGTGTATAGATGTTAACGTCATTCTCATGGGTTCCAAAAGGGGGAATGAAGCCTGTCCCGATTCATTCCACAGATACTGTGGATGCAGTTCGAACAAAACTGCGTCGTCAGAACCCTGAATACATAGCGGACGAAGAAGCATTACAAAATGAAGTAGAAAAAAGAGAAGGAGATGAAATCAGCAGCGATGATGAGGTTAGTGGTAGTGGCGGCAACAATATGCTGTTTGGAGGAGGTGCTGATACTATTCTTGAACAGGTGGAATCAGAGGATGAGGATGAAATAAATGATACTAACTTCAAGGAAACAGATCTCGTATTTGTAACGGCATCAGCAGACTCACCACAACCTCGTTTGGAGCTTTATGTTTATGATGAACCAGAAGATGCCATGTATGTTCATCATGATATGGAAATTGCTGCATTCCCTCTCAGTACGGCGTGGCTCACAGATGGGACCATGTCACTTTGCGCTGTTGGAACTATGAGACCTTTTGTGGAAGTATGGAATCTTGATGTGATTGATGCAGTAGAACCAGCGTGTTTATTGGGAGGATGTGTGAAGTGGGAAGACAATTACCGTAAGAGTGTGAAGAGCCGTATGTTAAAGGAAGATTCACACAAGGATGCGGTACTCTCTGTGCGATGGAATACCTGCGCCCAACACATTCTGGTCTCTGGCAGTGCTGATTGCAGTATTAAACTCTGGGATCTCAACAACTCCACTTGTATTGGCACCTACACGGAGCCTGAAAAGGTACAGAGTCTTGACTGGCATCGTGAAGAAGCCAATCTTCTTCTCTCCGGTGGCTTTGATGCCATGATGGTTTTACGGGATTGTCGTAGTCCTAATGAGGCCGCATTGCGATTCCCAACAGGTGCAGTTGTCGAACACGTGGAGTTCGCCCCACACGGTGGCCGTACTTTATACACATCCACAAATAATGGCGGATTTATGGCGTTTGAGGCCCGTATGAATGCCCAACCACTCTGGCAGTTAAACATACATGAGGCCGACACCACCTTCTCTGCCTCTCCTCACGTTGCCGGTTTACTCGCCACGGGTGGAAAGGACGGGTCAATTACATTATGGGATGCAAGGGATCTCGCACAACCACCAAAGCAAATTATCTCACGTTCATATAATACAGGTGCTGTGATGTCCTTGGCATTTCACCCCAACTCACCGCATATTCTTGGAGCCTGTGGTAGTAAGGGCGAACCACTTGTGTACACCACAACAAATGATCTTCGGGATACATTCCGTTGATAGTAAAAAAAAAAGAAGGAAAAGAAAAAAAAAGAAGAAAAAAGATAAGGTCTGTGTTAGTCATCAGTACCTTAAGGTCTCCACGATTAAAAGGGAGAAATAAGAAAAAAGAGAGAGGTTAATCTACTTTTTTTCTTTTTTCTCATTCTAAAACAAGAGTATATAGGCATTAAACTCAATGCAACTCAGTAATGTTACCTTTGTATAACAATCTCAAACCTTCCATGCGGTAGAAAAGTTCTACCGGTCTCTCTTTTCCTTCTATTTATCTCTTTCCACCTCTTTCTCTCTCTCTCTTTCTTTCTTTCTACCTTTGTTACAGATTCAAAAAGCACTCTACCACACTACTCTCTAAAAGACTAAAATAATGAGGATCTTCAAGGATATTCTGACAAACGCCGAGGTTGTTTGCGATAACGACAAGCCCATGCAGGAGGAAGGCGACATTGTGTACGTTGTGAAGGGCCGCTATATTGAGATTGGTGGTGAGGACTACGGTATCTCCGCTAACGTGGATGAGGACGCTGGTGAGGGTGCCACTGGTGATGTGGATGACTCCAAGCAGCGCGTCATCGATATTGTGTACAACAACCGCTACACCGAGACAAACTACGATAAGGCCTCCTACATGGCCCACATCCGCGGTTACATGAAGCAGCTGCTGGATAAGATTGAGAGCGATGAGGATAAGAAGGCCTTCCAGACCAACGCTGCTGCCTTTGTGAAGAAGGTTGTGAAGGAGATTGATGAATACCAGTTCTTCATCCCTGAGGGTAATGAGGAAGATCCCGATAATGGCATGATCGTTCTGTGCCGCTGGGAGGGTGAAGAGCCCTCTTTCTACTACTGGAAGGATGGTCTCAAGGGTGAGCGTGTGTAGGAGCCTTTCTTTTTTAAGAAGGGGAAAAAGAAAAGAAAAATGAAAATAATGATTAATTGAAGGAGTGGATGTGAATAAGTACTACAAAACATAAAAAAGAGAAGAACGAAAGACAAATAAAGTAATTCTTTTTCTCTCTTATCTCCATCCCCTGCCCTTTTCCCTACCTTGGTGTCTGAGTATGTTGATTTCCTTGTCGTTCCTCAAATTTCTCATTTTTTATTTTTCTTTCGTCACAATATACATGGTGAAGGAAGAGAAAAATAACGAGTAAAGGGGAGGGCGACATAAGGGGAAAAATCGACAGCTCACGATACAATAAGGACGAAATAAGTAATCAAGCCAAGAAAAGGCAGTAATACTTAATATCCACACATAATAAACCATGTGTGGATATTAATAATTGGAAAATGGAAAAAAAATTAATATACTTAAGGGTAAAATCTGCCTCTGTTTTGGGTGTATCTCTCTCTCTCTCTGTGTCTCTATTCCTCTATCTATATACACATGCCTATATCCTTCCTTCTCTCTCTTTCTCTTTCTCTCTCTCTTTCTACCTTTGTTACAGATTCAAAAAGCACTCTACCACACCACTCTCTAAAAGACTAAAAGAATGAAGATCTTCAAGGATATTCTGACAAACGCCGAGGTTGTTTGCGATAACGACAAGCCCATGCAGGAGGAAGGCGACATTGTGTACGTTGTGAAGGGCCGCTATATTGAGATTGGTGGTGAGGACTACGGTATCTCCGCTAACGTGGATGAGGACGCTGGTGAGGGTGCCACTGGTGATGTGGATGACTCCAAGCAGCGCGTCATCGATATTGTGTACAACAACCGCTACACCGAGACAAACTACGATAAGGCCTCCTACATGGCCCACATCCGCGGTTACATGAAGCAGCTGCTGGATAAGATTGAGAGCGATGAGGATAAGAAGGCCTTCCAGACCAACGCTGCTGCCTTTGTGAAGAAGGTCGTGAAGGATATTGATGAATACCAGTTCTTCATCCCTGAGGGTAATGAGGAAGATCCCGATAATGGCATGATCGTTCTCTGCAGGTGGGAGGGTGAAGAGCCCTCTTTCTACTACTGGAAGGATGGTCTCAAGGGTGAGCGTGTGTAGGAGCCTTTCTTTTTTAAGAAGGGGAAAAAGAAAAGAAAAATGAAAATAATGAGTGAATGAAAGAGTTTGATCATAAAAAAAAAAAAAAAAAAGAAAAAAAAAGAAAGAAATAAAAAATAATTATATGTGCTTTGGTAATAATAAAATATTATAACGTGTGCTTTTCTATATTTGTGAAAGTCTCTGAGAAAGAAAGAGGGAAAGAAAGAGATGGTCAGATACTAGAGCACCATAAGTGAGTTAAACGGGGAGATGGGAAAAGAGACTTTTGCTGTGTGGAAGGTGTGGCACACTTACAGTGAAGGAAAGGAAGAAAGGTGTAGTATGTACAATACATCAAAAAAAATTTGAGATCAAGAAGCAATTTTGCTGAAGCTTTACTGGATGGGTGACAAGATGTTGCTTTGTAGAGGGTAATTCATCTCAACCTTTCAATATGTGTCTCCCACTTTTTACCACTTTTTGGGAGCTTCTTTCGCTGCCGCAGCTGCGTGTATGAATTTTTTTTTTGCAGTTCACATAAAAGAAGGCATGAGTTTATGTTATGCGCTTTTTTTCTTGTGGAGGGTGTGTGGGAAAACTGTCACGATGTTTTTTTTTTTTCGCTTTAAGTGATAGAGTTTTTTTTTTTTTTTTTGTGGGGTGGGATTTTCACTCTTTTTAATTTTTCTCTGTATTACACACATACACACTCTTTTTGGTTCTACGTTTTCTGTTTTTCTTCTTTTTTTTCTATTGGATATATATGTAGGCTACCATCCCGTAGCTGTTGAAAATAGACACAGTATATATATATATATATATATATATATATATATATATATATGGATAATGCCTGCTGGTGAACACCGGCCCAATGAGGAACTTGCCCGTTATATAGAGTCTAGATGGTCAAACCGCTTTTCCGTGTTTTGCAATGCCCTTCGACAGTATCCATTGCCTATCACCAGTGGAGCTGCAGCCACTGTGCTGCATGGCAGTTCACCAGATGTCCTTCAGGCAGTGGATGCATACTGTTGCTCAACCCAATCTCAACAAGGAGAACAACAAGAGAGTTCTGAGTGGAATGAGAGTGAATTGGATTTATTTCCACGCCCTGATACTATGAAATCCGCTAATTCTACCATGACGACAATGATGATGGTTTGTTCCCCGTTTCGTTTCTTTAAAGCCAGACGACTAGAAGAAGAGAATGAGAATCTATCGCTTTGGCCTAATGAAACAGGAAAAGTAGTTCCTAATACAGAAACTTTCACTAATAGTAATAATGAAAATGACATTTTATTTTCACTTTTAGATGCATCGAGTCAGTTACATGGAAATGGTCATATGAGGAGTAAGTCCTCATCATTGGTTCCTCGCTCCAGTAATAATGAGCAACAAGAACGATCAGCTGAGGCAAAATTAAGTGTGAAAGAACTACAGGCAATATGTGCTTCAAAAGGTCTTTTAACACGTGGGACAAAGAAAGAACTTATTGCTAGAATACATCAACACAATGCCTTAAAAGACTCTGGTGCCTTATCTGAGCAACAGAAAGTTGTGGTTGTTGAGAAACCACATCCACAAGAAGAACATAATGTAGTGACGATGAGTGGAAATATTGCGGCTACATCACCTAAACGAGTTGCGTTAACAAATGAAGAATTGCTTGAACATTCACAACGTCTGCGTACACCATTCCGCTCCCCATCAACATCTCAACATTCTCCACACCGCTCAGCAGAACCAGTACCCAAGATTCATAGACTTCTTGCAACCCCACAAGAGTACGTTGCTGCATTGATAAAACAGAACCGTCAGGGTGGTGGTGGTGGTGGTGGTAATAATAATAGTCGTAGTGCTGCTGCTGCGACTTCTACCACAGAAGAGACCACTCGTTGGCCGTGGCGAATTCTCGTAGACAATCGTGAACGTATTCGTGGGGCTCATGAGCATGTCATTAAAGCCTTTGATTCAGCTTCTGTTCCCACAGTATCATGTACATTGCCATGTGGAGATTTTATGATTGGAATTGATGTTCCTGCTGGATATTCAGCAAGAAGAGATTATTTACAAACCATGGAGGGAGATGATAGTATCTCTAGACTACACTTATCCTCTGATGTGGGTGTAAATACCCCTGCGCAGAGTCTTTTTTCCATTGTAGTGGAACGTAAAACCACCAAAGATCTCTGTGCAAGTATTGCGAGTTCACGCTACTATGAGCAGCGACGTATTCTCTCTGCATCTCCATTTCGATCTGTGGTGTGGGTGGTGGAGGGAAGTATTGAATCCCTGCGGCCTGATGAACAGCGACGTGTGCTGTCGGCATGTGCATCCCTCGCCACAGTGCCGAACTTCCGCGTTGTGCGTACCCGTCATTTGGCTGAAACTATTGTCTGGTTACGACATCTCAGTATGGCTCACATCTCATCATTAGCGAAGGTAACAACAACAACAACAAGAGGAAGAGGAGAAATAAACAGTATATCATCATCATCATCATCATCGCTATTGGCGGACTGCGCAGCATGTATGGAGCATACAGAGAAACTACGACGTGCCCTTAGAGCACGCACTACTTTTCCACGTGTGTTGATGTGTGTTCGCGGCTGCTCCACCGCACTGGCAACACAACTAGCATCCAAGTACGGCTCACTTCTACAGTTGTGGAGACGGCTTAGGGATTACGGTAGAGAGGCATGTGACGCGGATGAGGATATACGTCGCCTTAGTAGCACGCAGAAGGACGTGTACGTGCGGCTTACGGAGTTTCTCTTGGCAGAAGAGTATTGCTGATTTGTGCAGTGTGGGGAAGGAGGGATAATCAAAAAAAAAAAAAAAAGAAAAAATCACTTCTCTATACATGTTACTTTCTGAAAGAATAGCTCTGCAGCGTATGTGTTTCTTTCTTTCTTTCTCTCTCTCTCTCTCTCTCTCTCTCTCTCTGGCCAACTCTTCCTTGTCATGATCTCTTCTCTTTGACTTTTTCTTTATTTGCTTTACACAAGGCACGCCAAACCAACAAGAATAACCAACGAGAATCATTATTATTATTATTATTATTATTATTATTATTATTAGGGAATTTCAATGATATCTCGCAAGGGACTTGCAATTGCAGCCGTCACGCTGCTGGCGCTCTTCGTCGTCGTGATGCCAAGCCCAGTTTCCGCGCAAGATTCCCTCGAATGCGAAAAGGTCTGGAAAGGACCCAGCGCTAAGAATAGCATGGTGGATTGTGTGAAAAATTCGGATCGCATCAAGGATCAATTAACCCTTGCATTGCCCTTTTTTAACATACTGCTCCTTGTTGTAATCTTACTTGGATTCCCTATTTCCATTGTGATAATGTTTCTTTTCACTAATATTTTTGAAGCTACCATTAAAAAAATTACATTAAATTCCCCTCTCCTTCTCTGGATGTGGATAACGTACACCGTGTTGTGGGGTTGTTGTATGTTGATTCTTGTGGTTAGTGGCGCCAAGACGCTGATAAAATATTCTCCATCTATTTTTGAGAAAACATTGGAGGGACCTTTGGTTTATTTCAATGAAACAGCAGAAAGAATTATTGATTTTACATCCAATTGGTCTACGGGTGAGCGTGTGCCGTTAAGTTCTTTTGAAGCAACTATAGCCCCTCTAACCAAGGTTCAGACTCAAGTTAAAACGTATACAGACTTGTATGAAAAGAATTTTCTCGGATACGTAGACAAACTTGCGTCTGTTTCCTATTCTATTAGTTCAATTGGTTTTGTGATTATATTATCTTTACTTCCTCTTGCTTTTTTTCGATTTTCTAATTTATACATATTACTTGGTGCCTCTTGTGTGTACTGGATCTTTGGGATTTTGTTTGCAGTCTTCGGTCTTTCTATGAGTGTACTGAGTGTCTATCTCTCGGCTGGCTGTGGTGAAGTGGAGCTGCACCATCAAAGAAAACCAGGTGTATTTCAGTGGTATCTTATCCCACTCTGTCAATCAATGTTTAGCATGGATAGCATCCGTGAGCAGGTGCGGAGGGCTGAATTTCAGTATTCCAGAGACGGCTGTAATAAACTCTTGAGGGCCTGTGATGATAATGATCCAGATCTTACTAAAGGACCACCTGAACCTACAAATGCTTCTGCACCTGCTCCTGCTCCTGCAGCGGCACCTGCACCTGCACCTGCATCTCCAAATAATACTTCCCGAAAACCGTTAGCTGTTAAGGCAAGCAAAGTTAAACTTCGCAGCCCTTATTCAGAGAGTGGAGGTACTATTACGAGAGACAAACTTCAACTTAACCTTGGTGGTGGTGGTGGTGGCGGTGGTGGTGGTAAGGGTGGTAATACATTGGCTAATGCCCTTGCTAACGCTATTGCCACCTCTAGAAAGACTGGTAGTTCTACTGTTAAACTGAAGCTACCTAAAGCATTTGATAAATTTAAAATATATAAAGGATTGGGCTCTAAGGAAATAACGAAAAAACTGCAAGATGCTTTGCAACGAGGGTATGATATTAATACCATTACAAGTATTGCTGCTAGACCTTTTAAGTGTGGTAAGAATATCACATCAAGCGATCAATGCACAGATTTCGACACAATGGCTGACGTGCTTATCGCAACCACTGTTAAGAAGGTCACATCACTTTGTCCAAAAGAGGGTGTGATTTGTAATCTTACCGAGTGTGCTTCACACTGCAGAAACGAAGAATTCAGGGCAATTTCAAAGAGAATGTTAGACGCAGCATTAATGGCACGTAATGCAAGTATTGCTGTGTCGTACGTCAAGCCTCTCTTGGAATGTAACTTCGTTGTCGACAAGTTTTCAGTTGCTCTTACGAACTGCAATGAACTGAGGAGAGGGGCTTTTTTGCTCGGCATGGGATTCTTTGTTGGTGGACTGATGTTTGGTCTTGCCATCTACATCATCATTCAAGGTTCCTATCTGTGGAAACTGCCAATTGAAAAGGGGGATGACACACATTCCAAAGGAATCAGTGATACTCATACAAGCAGTATTGACACTTTACCCAGCGATCCATCTCCCCAGGGAATTGAAAATAAGATTGATACAGAGCCTATGGAAACGAGTGATATTCGTACAGGCAGTATTGACACTCTAGCGAGCATCCCATCACCCCACGAAACTAAAAAAAAGGTTAACACTGAACCCATGGAAATGAGTGGTATTCGTGTGGGCAGTATCAACACTTCATCCGGTGTCCAATCTCCCCAAGCAATTAAAAAGCAGGTTGATAAAAAGCCCATGGAAATGAGTGGTATTCGTGTGGGCAGTATCAACACTCCATCCGGTGTTCAATCTCCTCAAGCAATTAAAAAGCAGGTTGATAAAAAGCCTATGGAAATGAGTGATATTCGTGTGGACAGTATCGATACTCCATCCGGTGTCCAATCTCCTCAAGCAATTAAAAAGCAGAGTGATAAAAAGCCTATGGAAATGAGTGGTATTCGTGTGGGCAGTATCAACACTCCATCCGATGTCCAATCTCCTCAAGCAATTAAAAACCAGGTTGATAAAAAGCCTATGGAAATGAGTGATATTCGTGTGGACAGTATCGATACTCCATCCGGTGTCCAATCTCCCCACGCAGCTCACGAACCAGAAGAAGAAAATGAAGACTGTGCTCAATGGTACTAATTTTTTTTCATAATCTTTCCAATGTTTTTGATGGCGATAGAAACTGCCTTTGGGAGGGAGGGGGTGAGGGTAAAGGGGGAGGCGGTTGAAAAAAGGAACACCATCAATATTTATTGCTTTTGTTCTTAACACGTATATGCAAACATAAAAAAATATTCATTCGTATCCAGCTTGATGTAGAAAGTATTTTAAAAAGGGGGGAGAGAATAAGACTACGGGACAATTGTGTTACCAAAGGCTTATTTATGAGTGTCTTTCTTGCCTAAAGTCGTTCTTTTTGTAGTTAATTTCATATTGCTGATTTATTATCCTTTTTTTTCTTTTTTTTTCAATATATACTTGGAAACAGTTTTGCCTTAATACATTGCCTTTAACTGATTTTTTCTTGCATCGAAGGGTTTATTCCCACGTATGAACCTTACACATGTATCGACCTGGAATTCCGGGAACCCGTCTGTTTTGTTCAACATTTTTGTTATTCCTGACAGTGGTACCTCAGGTTTGCTCTGTCTGTTTACTAAATTTCTGTCGTAGTGTTCTCCATTACTGCTGTTGATGTAGCTCCATCATGAAAGGGTAATATCGGTAGAAGTGGTACAGACACTGTAACCCCTGAGCAGTACTCAAAAGGAAATGCATGTGAACTGAAGAAGTTACTTGACAGCCAAAGGAGTCCCTCTGGCATGTTTGTACGTATGTATTTCTCTCTCTCTCTCTCTCTGGCCAACTCTTCCTTGTCATGATCTCTTCTCTTTGACTTTTTCTTTATTTTCTTTACACAAGGCACGCCAAACCAACAAGAATAACCAACGAGAATCGTCATTATTATTATTATTATTATTAAGGAATGTCAATGATATCTCGCAAGGGACTTGCAATTGCAGCCGTCACGCTGCTGGCGCTGTTCGTCGTTGTGATGCCAAGCCCAGTTTCCGCACGTGATTCCCTCGAATGTGAAAAGGTCTGGACGGGGCCAAGCAGCACAAATGATGTATTTGCTTGTTTGTCCGATGTAAATCGTATCAAGGCCCAGTGGCGCTACTATGTGTTTCCGGCCATCAGTGCTCTGCTTTTTCTTGTAATTTTGATAACTTTCCCCATTGTCTTTCTGTGTGTGTGCTGTTGCCGTTGCTGTTCTTGTTGTAAGCGACGCGATGCGCACGTCACAGCGAATTCCCGCTGCTTTCTCTGGATGTGGATAGCGTACGCCATACTGTGGTGTTGTGGTATGGGCATACTCGTTATCTATGGTGCCCAACTTGTTGCGATTGCACTTCCTGCCGTGTTTGACGATACAATGGATGGACCACTGAAGTACTTCAATTACACAGCAGACAAGCTCATTGATTTCACGTCTAACTGGTCTACAGGTGAGCGTAAACCATTGGCTGGTATCGACCTGGATACTGAGGTTTTCGCTAACATCAGCAATACGGTTGCAGATTATCTAACAGATATCAGAGACATGATCTCCGGGTACTTGAAATGGGTACCAATTGTCTCGTACTGCATAGGTGGGGTGGGTGTTGTTCTGATGTTCCTCATGATATTCCTTGCCTGCTGTCGCTGCTGCGTCCCATGCCTGCCAATGGGCTTATCTTGTGTATACTGGATCTTTGGAGTTGTGTACTCACTTCTTGGTTTTGCTGCTATTCTACTTGCATACGTGGCTACTGTTGGCTGTGGTGAAATTGAATTGCAGTACAACCGAGAACCAGGTGTGCTTCAGTGGTTTCTTGTGCCTTATTGTCAAGAAACGTTTGACTTCTCAACCATTAACACTGCCGTTCGTGATGCGGAGAAGCTTCTTTCCGAGCAATCCTGCAATGCCCTACTGCATCTATGTGATGATTCCCCATCGCCCCTTACCCGGCCTCTCACCTGTGGTAAAGGCATCACTTCCCCCAATGATTGTCCAGATATTGGCACCATGGCAGCTGTATTGGAAGACACTTATGTGAAGGCCGGTACCACAGCATGCCCTGACAAAGACAAACCATGTTCGCTGATAGAATGCGCGGTCAATTGTACTATTGAAGAAGTGAGGACAATTGCAAGCGGATTGCTCTCTTTTGCTACAGTGGCAAGTAATGCAAGTATTGCTGTCTCGTACGCCAGGCCTTTGTTGGAATGCAATTTTGTGGTGGATCGGCTGCTAAGTGCCATGGATTCCTGTAATGATCTCAAGATAGGGTCTTTGATGCTTGGTACGGGATTCTTTCTTGGTGGATTAATGTTCGGTCTTGCCATCTACATTATGTTCCGCGGTTCCTGTGTGTGGAGAAAGCCAAAGGGTGCGAAATAAAGGAAGATTGTTGAGTAATTGGTATGAATGTAGAATATCCGTTATTAAACAAATATACACTTTTTCTTTTTGTTTTTTTTTTTTTGCCAATGATTTTTTCTGGTGTGAGTTTCTTTTCTCGCATCTTCGATTTCCCCGCGTGACCCCGATGTTTATTTTCACCGCCTCACCACACATGTACACACGTATAACAGTGAGAGAAAAAGACAACAACGATAAGGAAAAGGAAGAGAGAGAAAAAAAAAAATCCATTTGAAGAAAAAAGGAGAAAAAAAAGAATGGTACGAATAAATATGTAGTAGTAGTGTGTGGTAGTGGGGGATCGAATGCACCTTATGGCAAATGGTTCCGTATATTACCTCTCCCTTTATCTTTTTATTTCTTTATATAACTGAAAATCTTTATACTATTGGTTCCATATACCCTCAATTATACTGTTTTTTTTTTTTTTTTTCTTTTCACTGAGCAATGTTCATTTCCAGTATGTTTTTTTGTGGGGGTGGGTAGGTTTTTTTTGGTTTTTATACAATCATTTCCAGTTTTGAAAAAAAAAAAAAAAAAACTGGAAGGGTATAAAGGGTAAAGAGTTATATAACACTTCTGTGAGGGGCAATTCTCCCACATGGATAAGTGTGGTACCTCAGGTTTGCTCTGTCTGTTTACTAAATTTCTGTCGTACTGTTCTCCATTACTGCTGTTGATGTAGCTCCATCATGAAAGGGTAATATCGGTAGAAGTGGTACAGACACTGTAATCCCTGAGCAGTACTCAAAAGGAAATGCATGTGAACTGAAGAAGTTACTTGACGGGCAGAGGAGTCCCTCTGGCATGTTTGTACGTATGTACGTATGTATTTCTCTCTCTCTCTCTCTCTCTGATCACCTCTTCCTTGTCATGATCTCTTCTCTTTGACTTTTTCTTTATTTTCTTTACACAAGGTACGCCAAACCAACAAGAATAACCAACGAGAATCGTCATTATTATTATTAAGGAATGTCAATGATATCTCGCAAGGGACTTGCGATTGCAGCCGTCACGCTGCTGGCGCTCTTCGTCGTCGTGATGCCAAGCCCAGTTTCCGCACAGAGTTCCCTCGAATGCCAAAAGGTCTGGCCGGGGCCAAGCAGCACCAATGATGTACTTACTTGTTTGTCCGATAAGGATCGTATCAAGGACCAGTGGCGCTACTATGTGTTTCCGGGTTTCAGTGCTCTGCTCTTTCTTGTAATTTTGATAAGTTTCCCCATTGTCTTTATCTGTGTGAGCTGTTGCCGTTGCTGTTCTTGTTGCAAGCCGCAGGAGGCAGAAGTCACAGCGAATTCCCGCTGCTTTCTCTGGATGTGGATAGCGTACGCCATACTGTGGAGTTGTGGAGTGGTCGTACTCGTTATCTATGGAGCCAAACTACTCGGAGCCTCACTTCCTGCCTTGGTTGACGATACACTGGATGGACCACTGAAGTACTTTAATGAAACAGCAGAAAAGATTGTTGATTTCACGTCTAACTGGTCTACAGGTGAGCGTCAACCTTTGCCTGGTATCAACCTGGACATCACTACCTTCAGTGACGTTAGCGATAAAGTTACAGATTTTCTTACTACATTGAAGGATAATATGAATAAATATGCCGGATGGGTACCAATTGTCTCGTACTGCATTGGTGCGGTGGGTGTTGTTCTGATGTTCCTCATGATACTCCTTGCCTGCTGTCGCTGCTGCGTCCCATGCCTGCCAATGGGCTTATCTTGTGTATACTGGATCTTTGGAATTGTGTACTCACTTCTTGGTGTTGCTGCTATTCTAGTTGCATACGCAGCCACTGTTGGCTGTGGTGAAATTCAATTGCAGTACAAACGTGAACCGGGTATACTTCAGTGGTATGCAGTGCCTTACTGTGAATCAATGTTTAACTTCTCTAGTGTGAACGCTGAGGTACGCAAGACGGAAACCACTTATGCCCAACAGGCCTGTACCTCACTGCTGGAGGTGTGTGATAATACCCTATTACCCCTTCCGCGCCCATTCACTTGTGGAAATAACATCACTTCCGCCGATCAGTGTCCAAACATGGGCACCATGGCAGCTGTATTGGAAAGCAGTACCGTAAAGGCTTCCACTATGGCCTGCCCGGTGCCAACGGCATCCTGTTCACTGACGGAATGTGCAGCCAATTGTACGAATCCAACAGTAAAATCAGGGGCAGCACAATTACTATCAGTTGCGGCACAGGCACGGAATGCAAGTATTGCTGTCTCGTACGCTACACCTTTGCTGGAATGCAATTTTGTGGTGGATCAACTGTTGGGTGCTGCGGGCTCCTGTAATGATCTCAAGACAGGGTCTTTGATGCTTGGTGTGGGATTCTTTGTTGGTGGATTAATGTTCGGTCTTGCCATCTACATTATGTTCCGCGGTTCCTGTGTGTGGAAGAACCCCAAGTGATACCGATATTTCTTTTTGGTCGCCATTTTGTTTTTTCTTTCTTTCTTTCTTTTTTTTTTTTGATTGATATCTTGGTTTATTTTACTTTTTTTTTTGTTGTTTTTTTTTTTTAGACCACGCTGTGTGTAGTTCTTTTGGAGTGGGGATTCAAGTAAGAAACGACCAAAAAGTTTGTTGCAGAAGGTAGACACTAACTATGTGCTTCTGTCAGCTACGTAGAGACTTTTTTTTGGTTTTGTTTTCTTTAGTGTACTATCTCTCTCTCTCTCTCTTTATCTGTGCGTGTGTTTGTTTGTTTGTTTTTTTTTATGTTAAGATTGGTTTATATTTATCGGCTTCACTTACTAGAAAGTAAACAAAAAGAAAGTGAAGTCAATAGGGAAGGAAAAGGGATATAAAGCTATTGGGATTCTATGAAGGGATTTCTTTTTCTTCTTATTTTTCTGATTCTGATATTTTTATTTTCTTTTTTTTTTTTTTTTGCGAAATAGACCTCTAGAAAGGAAAGTTACCAAAATGCTTTCTTTCTACACAGATGGTTTATAAACGCTGAAAAATAGTTTTAGTCCTTCCTACACTCTCACTTTTTTTTTGTTGTTTATTTTCTCTGAGAGCTTACAAAAAAAAAAAAAATGGTATGGCCTTCATTTTTTTCTACATTAGAAGAGTCAAGATATATATATATATATATATTAATATTTTTTTTTCCCTTAACATATTCATTATGTAGAACCGATTGTAAACATTGAAAGTGTGCTTGAAAGCCCTCATTCACCTCTTCTTCTGCAGGGGGTGTCGGGTGTTTAAAGGCGAAAAGATAAGAAATTTCACCACTTTTATTTTCTATCGGTATTAATAATGATCGTAAATGATGAAGAAAAGATACTGAACTCATCTTGTTGAGGTACAACTTCAGAGATTTATGGGAGAGGAAGAAAAACAAAATAATAATAATAATAATAATAATAATAATAATAATAATAAAATAAACAAATGGGAGCAATACGGAGAGAGTAAGGATATCCTTTTCGTTCCCCTTCCCTATCTCATCTCGAATGAAGAAAGAGAAAGGTCATTACTATTTTTTTTTTTTTCTGTGTTAATTTTTCTTTGTTTTTACAAGCGCACCCAGTTACTGACCCATTAAAAAAAAAAAAAAAAACCTTCTCCTGTTGAAAATGAAAGAAAAGAAAAGCAAAAGAAAAGAAAAAAAGAGAGAATGGTTCCTCATCTCATTGTTTTCTTGGTGTGTTTATCACTGTAGATCCAAGTTAGAAAAAAAAAAAAAAAAAACATAAATGAGAAGAAGAGGTTAATGGGGGTGTTTTTTTTTCTTTTTCTTCTTTTTTTTCTTTTAGATGTGCTTTAACTAAAGTGTTTCTGTGAGTGGCAATACTTTTTTTTACTTTTTCTCTTTTTTTTTTTTTAATATGTGTGTATACCTCTCCTCCAATATACATATTATGAGACTATGGTTCCCATTAGTAAGGAAATAGGAGCTGGGAAAGGGGCATTTTTTCTTTTTTTTTTTTCTCTCTCTTTCTGTCCTTCTTTTCTTAAAGAAGAAGAGCAACAGGAGAAAAAATGTAACCAGTGTACATCATATTTTCAAATAATAAACAGAGAGCAACTTGGGTAATAGAAAGATAGAGAGAAAGAGAGAGGGAAGAGAATAAATTGTATAAGGAACTGTAGTAAACAGAACTCCAAAAAGGAAAAAAAAGAGAAATTCTCGGATACAATGATCAACTACCCCCTATTGTAAGAGAATATATATATACAGCATGTGTCTGTATAATGAGGGGTTGGGGATTATGAGAGAAGAACAATAAAGAAGAAACAAAGTAGTAATAGTAATAATAGTAATAAGAGAGAGAGAGACTATATGGTTCCGTAGAGTCGTGAAAAATATGCCTATTTCTATTTGGCGTAAGGGAAGAGGTTAAAAAAAAAAAAGAGAACACAAGAAGGGAAGAATGAGTGTAATATTGAAGATCTTTTAATATACTGCTGGTTAGTGGAGGTAAAGGGTAGTATATATGCTGTGATTGAAGTTTTTATTATATCACTTTCAACAAAAGAAAGAAAAAAAAATACTGGTGGGGGTTCCTTTTCCTTTTTTCTCCTCGTATAGTTTAAGCATTACTGATAATGTGAAATTGGGAACCTATTTTTCTTTTTTTTTTTTTTNNNTATATATATATATATATATATATATATATATACTGGTGTACTCACATTTATTGTTAACAGAGGGAGTCCATATGGTAGTTACTGAGGGCTCTGTATGTCATTTGTGAGGAATAATCTGAATTGTGAGAAGCCAGTAATCCCCAATTATCTGCAGCATTCTCTTCGTTTTTTTTTTTTTTTTCTTCTTTTCTTACTTGTTTCCATATGTCTCTTTTAACAATGTCATTTCGCACATTTGGCGTCACTTTACTTTTCCTTTGCTGTATTAGTTCTTGTCATGATCTCCCATGTCTGCTACTCTCTTACCTGTGAACCCTTTTTTCCCCCTTCATTTCCCTTTTATTATATTATTATTCTTATTATTATTAATATTTCCTCTTTACACATTTCACTGTGTAAAGAAGGCGGACCATCTGCTCAGACATTCTTCTGAGTGGATCGATAGTAATTCGCCTCACCCAAAAGTACAGTCTCAAGAGAAGTATATTTATATATTTATATATATATATATATATATATATATATATCCCCATCAGTTGTTCCCCCTCTCATCATCATCATCATTACACGTACACACACATGAAGTCTCCATTAGACACGTGGCTGCAGGATCTTCACATTGCGGTTGGTGCTTACTTTGCGCGGGATCCACTTCCCCGCGGTGTGGGACCACAGCAGCGCATAGAGGGATGGAAACAAAAAGAAAGAAAACTCTTTACCGCAGAAACACTACCAACAACAGTATCCACACCATCAGTATCTGGGAACCGTGATAATAGTGGGGTTCTCTCCGTTGCAGTTTATTCCACTCCCACGACAGTTTTACCTATCACTAGTACTACAAATACTACTACTATTAATACTATTAATAATAATACTACTTCTACTAGTAGTGCTAATATTAATACTACTAATCCTACAACAACTACTACTATTACTACTAGTACTAGTACTACTAGTAGTAGTAATAATAATATTATACGAGAGCCGCAGAGAGTTTATAATCACACAACGAATGCCGCAATAGCTACATCTACAGTAAGTACAGCTGCGGCCATCACATCATCACCATCAACTCCCACGTTATCAGAAATTAAAGCACAAATGTGCGATATCACAGAAAGACTACGGCGTGCTCAGAGACACAGAGATGATCTTGTGCTTCAGGAAGACGAGGAACATGACATTAGTGAGGCTATTGCCCAATCTGACCGCACTGTGGCTGAGTTAGAAGCTCAGTTTCTCCAACTTCGACAAATACAGGCAGTACTACTACGACGTCCTCCACCAAGTTGTAGTAGTAATAATAGTAGTATTATTAGTAGTCCAGTTACTATTATTAACGGACGGACATCATTTACATCTTCATCTTCTTTTATTGCTGCTGGTGCTGGTGCTGCTGGTGTGGCTATTGGGGCAGCACATGGTCCTCCTGATAGAAGTTTAGGAAGTGGTGGGGCATTTGATATGAATAACACAGCAATGGATGCTGTTGAGATGCGGAAGTCTTTTCAAGGAGTAATGCAGGGTGGGATTCCATCATATGTAAACAATTATTCCTATGAACAGGGAAGTAATGCATATCCTCCACGGACTGGTATGAATAATGGACCACAACGGTTTAGTTGGGAATCATATGAACAATCACCACTTCATCCACAACAACAACAACTACAACAACAAAGAGGATTATCTGATAATACACCTATTAGACTTCCTGTAAATCCTTTTGATCGTTATAGTGGAGAAAATTTTCCCTGGTCAACCGATTTACGACGAACTATGATTGATATATTTGGTCTTCATCAATATCGTTTCCTACAACTTGAGATTATGAATGCCTGTATGGACAATCGTGATGTCTTTGTTCTTTTACCTACTGGAGGAGGAAAGTCACTCTGTTATCAACTCCCCGCACTCTTACCAAATCCGGCACAAGTTACTATAGTGATATCCCCACTTATTTCACTTATTCAAGATCAAGTGTATGCACTTATTGCTAATGATATTCCTGCTATGGCATTAACAGGTCAAACATTAGATGCTTCACGACGATCTCTCTTCTCTGAATGGGCATCTAGACAAATTATTCATACTTTAGTTTATGTTACACCTGAATACTTTGGACGAAGTGATCATTTTGTACAATCTCTCATGCAACTTGCAACTCGTGGACTTTTAAGTCGATTTGTTGTGGATGAAGCGCATTGTGTATCTCAATGGGGTCATGATTTCCGTCCGGATTACAGAAAATTGGCAATATTAAAACAACAGTTTCCTACTACACCCATTACAGCACTTACAGCTACCGCAACAGATATGGTAAAACAAGATATTATATCAACTTTAGGGTTAAGAGATGCTTTAGTGTTTAAAGGATCATTTAATCGACCAAATCTACGTTACTCTGTACGTAAAGTGGGACGGGATGTAAGTTCACTTGTGGTAGATCTTGTTAAGCATCAATTTCCACCAAGATCATGTGGTATTGTTTATTGTCTTTCACGAAAAAACTGTGAAGAGATGGCGACCGCATTATCAGCTGCTGGAATACGTGCTTCATACTATCATTCAGAAGCGAGTGGAAAAAATGATAAACAAGAACGATGGACAAAGGATGAACTTCAAGTGATATGTGCTACTATTGCTTTTGGAATGGGAATTAATAAACCAGATGTTCGTTTTGTTATTCATGCAGCGATGCCTAAATCTATTGAAGGGTATTATCAAGAAAGTGGACGAGCTGGTCGTGATGGATTACCCTCGCAATGTATTTTACTTTGTTCACCTAGAGATAAACAAAGAATTGAACAAATGATTCATGATAGTAAAGATTGGAAAACTTCACTGGATTCCTTACATCGAATGTTAGCCTATACTGTGAATGATGTTCACTGCCGTCGAATGCAACAACTTGGTCACTTTGGTGAACACGTAGATGTACATTACTGTTTAACACAACCTGCAGGATCTGTAGAAGTGTGTGATAACTGTGCTAGTAAAAGAGATGAAAATTGGGAAACCACCTCTATGGATATTTCAACCATAATCATTGATCTCTTTAACATCATTAAACATCTCGGTTCCCTCACTTCACGTCAACTCGTCGGTGTATATCGTGGAACTGCAGATATTGGAAAAGCTATTGAGACCCGCATGCGGCAGAAGGGTGCTCCTGTAGAATATAAAGCCGGTACACGTCATTCCAAATTACTATTAGAACGTGTAGTACTGGAAGGATTACTAATGGGTATATTTAAAGAACGACTAGATACGGTGAATGACTACGTCACCTGTGCGTTTATTGAGGCTGGTGAGGGGGCAGGTATACAATTACTACGCAATGTGCAGAATGGAACACAACGAATTGAAATCCCTTTGCGAGGAGAGAAGAAAAAGAAAGATACCATTCCCAAAACTACTACTACTACTACTACTACTATTGGTAGTAGTAGTAGTATAGAGAAGAATAGAGATGGTGGTGTTGATATTATGCAGAGAGTCTCAGCTGAGAATGAAGAAGACGCCGTTCCTGCAGGAGGGAATTCCCCTTGTAAAGGTCGTAAAGGGAAAAGAACCAAAACTTCAAAGGAAGAGGCAAAAGAACGAAGATCTCTGGCTACTGCCGCTGATGCGAAAACAACAAAAACAACAAAAACCACTACTACTACACAGCGAGGAAAGCATGGACGAGAGGAAATGCGTACAAAAAAGAAAAAATCATCACGGAAAGCATCTGCTGGACGATTTGTACTCACAGAATGTGAAGGTTCTTCTATTTCTTCTTCTGCTGCTTCCTCCAATCTCTCTGGTGTGGACAGCAGTGAAGAAGACTCTCTTGCAGGATTTGTAACGGACGGTGTGGAGTCATTCTCATCCTCATCCTCATCAGCAGCCACACAATCCACATCCTCTATTGTCTCTCCACCGCGAAAGAAGAGACAACGCCGCGGTGGACATCAGCCATCCGCCTCCTCCATATCTTCTTCACATATAAACAGTACAAGAACAACAACCACAACAGGAATCATTGGCAGTGGTAATACCGCAACCTCATCCCTCTCTGTAGAAACACCATTAAAGGTAGTTATGATTCCCGCCGCTCGTCTACGGCAACTTCAAGATGAACTTCTTGCACAGATGGAATCTCTTGTACAATCCCTCGCGGAACGTTCAGAGGGTGGACGACAGTATAATGTGATGCCAAAGAAAACCATGCACACACTCGTGGAAACTCTCAGTGTTCCTAGCTGGGGCTCTGTCGCACAGTTAGGTGATCTGGAAGGTCTTGGTAAGAACAAAGTAAAGAAGTTCGGTGCGGAAATTCTTCGACTCTATCGTCAATTCCGTCATGAACACATTGGGGATGTTGCGGAACTCACCTTATTGGAAGAGGAAATGCTGCGACAGACAACAACGGGAATGGCAAACCGAAATCGTTTACCTCGTGGAGATGTACGTACAGGGAAAGTCATTGATGACACGGAAACTCCCATCAAAGCACAAGACTCGGGTTTACTACAACCACAACCATTACCGCAAGGGAAACGTTTGATGTTGGACTCCGACGGTACTCCACAGAAACCACCACAGATAATGACAATACCACAAGTATCAGGAGCAATAGAGATATCACCAACAGGAAGAGCAACCGCAACTTCTACTACTAGTATTAATACTAATACTAATAATAGTGTTAATGCTACGACGACAGTGATAGGTGGTCCATCAGCACCAAAGAAAACATTATTCAAAATGCCTGATGTGGTTTCTACAGTTGAGGAAACTCCTCCACGAACACTTGGTGTACCTGTTGTTTCTTTAACATCCGGTAGTCTTTCTTCTCCTATGGATCCCGTTATTACATTTCCCCCCACGGAAGACTCTACTAGGGCAGTATGGCAGCAGAGTCATCAATCCTTTGCGCTATTTCCAGATCCTCAACATCAGCAACAGGAACAAATGTTGCCTCCATCTATCGGACAAGAGTTAATCGGAGCAACACCACTGCCGTTGGGATCGGAACTCGTCACTTTAACACAACAACCACACCAACCACTACAACAACAACAACAACATCCGACACCGTTTGATGTTATGGGTGATGACTATTTAATGCGTATGTGTGATGAGTCCATCGCACGTACACCTCTGCGACCAGCCAATTCAACGGATTTAACGTACAATTATCCCGTTAGCAGCAAAGTAGGAGAAACAACAACAACAACAAGAGTGTCGTGGACACCTGCAGGAGAAAATGGAATTCCCCTTATGCCACGGTGGCAGCAACATGTACCATCCTCTGATAAGAATCGCATGGGTAATGGTAATAACAGTGGTGTTGTTACTCGGGGTGAAGTTATTACAGTGAACTCAGATGAAGATGATGAGTAAGAAAAAAAGAACAGAAGGGTTACAAGTAAAATTTTTTTTTCTTTTTTTTTTGCTTTTTTTCTCTCTCTACCCTCTAAAGAAAGAAAATCGGAGAAGGGTTCTGGGGATGGGAAGAAAAAGGAACATACTCTATTGCTTGACATCTGATGTTTAGATAAAGTATGATTTATTTTTCTTAGTCTCTTTTTATTTTTATTTATTTTTATTTCTCTCTCTCTCTCTCTCTCTCTCTCTCTCTTCCTCACATTATTCTTTGATCATTTTCGTTTAAAACATTTATTATAGTTTCTCGTTCTATTCTCTAATATCGAGCGGAAACCAGTAATAGCAATAGCAATAGTGGTGTGGTACTTATAGTGTAGGTATTTTGGTACTCACAGCAGAGGAAAAAAAAAAAAAAAGAAAAAAAAACACTATCAATAATGATTAAGGCTGTTATTATTATTAACACGGCTGGAAAAATTCGGTTGTTGAATGTATATGAGAAAGATATTCCTTTAGCACTTCAACAGCATTTAGTACGTCGAGTTCACCACCTTATTTCACGTCGTAGTGGCGATCTCTGTAATTTTGTAGATAATTTCATTGAGTGGCCTACTCCTGATACCCGTGTAGTCTACCGTCACTACGCCACACTCTGTTTTGTCTTTATTGTAGACAGTAGTGAATCTCAATTGGCGATACTGGACCTTATTCAAGTCTTTGTGGAAGCACTTGATCGAACCTTTGAAAACGTATGTGAACTGGATCTTATTTTTCACTCGGATAAAGTGCAGTTGACACTAATGGAAATGGTGATGGGCGGTATGGTGTTGGAAACCTCACGTGAGGAGATACTACGGGCTATGTCTGAGATGCAGCGTGTTGGGAGCTCCAAAACAACCTCGAGTACAGTTGCCGTTTCAGGTTATCATTAAACTCTCTCTCTCTCTCTCTCACTACAACTTGTTATTCTTGATCTTGTGAGGTATCGTGGTGTTTTCTTTATATATATATATATATATATATATATAATTTCATTCATTCTCACTTTGTGTGGATGTGTTTGCCGCTTTTTTTTTTTATTGTAATCATTTGTATCTTTTTTTTTTATACTGCTGGGTATAATGCTGGTGTGCCACTTTTAGGATTGGTTCCAGGGCTCTTGTATATAATATCATCTCTTTATTTATTTTATTTATTTTTTTATTTTCTCTTCTTTATCACTGCAGTCATTCTACGGGAGACTGTGTGGGTGTGGAAAAATAAATAAAAAAGAAGAGGACCACATAACGAGTAATTAACGAAGGAGTCAATATATATATATATATATATATATATATANATAGACACCATCAAAGAAATCCTTCAGCGAGAGGTGGACACAACGTTAGAGGAGGCGACCAAACAACGAGAAGTTCTGCGACGACGTGTATCCTTCCCATAACGTCTAATTAACGAAGGAGTCAATATATATATATATATATATATATATATATACATAAGTAAATAAAATGATAGACACCATCAAAGAAATCCTTCAGCGAGAGGTGGACACAACGTTAGAGGAGGCGACCAAACAACGAGAAGTTCTGCGACGACGTGTATCCTTAGCTTGCGATCGTATTCGACGGCGTCAAGTCCTTGCACGAACGGAGACACTCACACCGTTGTTTCGAACAGACTTTCTCAGACGCGGTAAAATCATTCAGAAAATACGTGGACGTCTTCTACAGACTCTCACACGATATGCACATATACTTCAATCGGGTGATCTGCGAGCTACTTGTGGACTTTTAAATGTGGAGATTGTTCTCCGTGCAGTGCGAGAGGCATTAGTGGAGGAGGAGGAACTCACCCATTGGCAATTGCCGCTCCCACGTGAAGAGGAATGGCGTGCCGTGTGTATGGCCGTACAGGAATCCTGCACTAATAATAATAATAATAATAATAATAATAATAATAATAATAATAACAGTGGCAGTAGTGGTACTATTATTAATAACAACAACAATAATAATAATAGTAGTAAGAGTACGACAGTAGCGATGGTATCATCCTCTGAGCAAAAACAACAGGAGATATTAGAGGCAGCACTCAGTCGTGTTCTCTCACCATGCAATACAAACAACGATAATGAAGAGGCCCCAAAAGATGTGGACTCCTTGATGCCATGGTTATCTATTCCCTGTTTTTGCCCCTTGGCCTACTATTGTCAACATCCACAGGTATTGATTGTACCCACGAAAGAGATTAATAGAAAAGATCCCTGCCGACGTGAAGGAGATGATGAGACAACGGAAGTGGAAAAGGCAACAGTGGGGGATGCGGATATTGCATTAGATATTCTTCGGGCAGCTGCTGAACATCTCCGTCAACTTAGCAGTAACACAAGTGGAGATCCACATGATGATAATGATGATGTGGTGGAAGTAAATAATAATAATAATAATAATAATGAGTCTAATGATGAAAGAGAAGAGGCGGTGGAATCTGCAATGGAAGAGGTGAGACTACGTGTGTGTATTGAGATTGCCGCACGGGCAACCGCATGTAAATACGCCGTAGATTCACTTTCAACAGGCGAGGATGCCATTTTATTTGATGGTGTAGCCACTGTAACAACAACAGCAATGACAATGATGATATCATCATTGCAAAGAGAAACTTCTCATACATTGCCTTTCACTACATTAGTATTACCACCAATGGAGCAACTCTTCTTCTGTATTGCGTACACTATTGGTGCAGCCATACTACGTGATGAACAGAATGAACGACGTGCTGGAGGAACTATTGTTGTTGTTGATGATAATAATGAAGAGGCATCTGATGTTAATAATAATAATAATAATAATAATAATAATAATAATAATAATAACAATAATGATAATGGTAGTTGGCGAAGTGTGTTTGAGCGGTGGATGTTGCAGGAACGGTCTGCAAAGCATGGCAGCGTGGCATTTCTTGGGCCACGGCTATTGCAGTATCTATTTGAATATGTATTCCATCCTTTTCCACGTACTGTGCAGATGGGAAGACCCGCAGAGGCGGTGGAAGTACCGCCAGAGACTGCACGGCGATGGTTACATTTGGCCTTTGCTGATGATATTGTGGAGAAGGAGAGTGCAGTTGAGTCGATGATGACTGATTATCTTAATCGTCAGTAGTGCTGATTGGGGTCATCTTCTACTTATTTCTTTGTATATATACTTATATATATATATTCTCTTTATGGTTGTAATTGTGATGAAACTATTGATATGCATATTTATTAATTTATATATATGTGTGTATGTATGTTTTTCTTTTTTAAAATTTGTTTTTTTTTTCTCTCTCTCTCTCTTATTATTTTACATATTTGGGGTATATATATATATATATATATATATATATATATATATTTATATATTCCTGTGAACACACAATCCAATAAGAAAAAGGGAAAGAAGAAAACAACACAAGAACAAGGACAAAAGGGCTGTACGGCTAACAGCAGCACTTCAACCATTCGTCGAAGTCCTACAAACGCCCAAAGAAAGACTGCACGTTGTTAAGACGTAAAGAAGAAGAAAAGAAACAACAACAACAACAAAAAAAAAATAGTAGTATAAACCGAGAAGAAAAGAGAAAAAAAATCCCAGAAAGAAACAACAAACAATAAAGAAAAACAGATAATCACAACACAACCCCCAACATTTTAACCCGCAAACATGACTACTATGCAGAAGGTGGACGCTACATTGGAGCGATTTGACCGCAAATCCCCCCGTGCCGCCTACGCGCAGGTCTGTGAAGAGATGGGTGTTCACCGTCAGAAGAGTATCGCCGCTCTTCTCAGTGATGCCCCACGTGATTGGGATAAACACCGCGTGTTTGACTGCCGTTCGTGTGTGTTGGGGCCTAAAGGTGCGATGGCGATTGTGCCGTTATTACTCTGCAGTCGATCTCTCCGTCGTGTTTGTATGCGTGGATGCGGAGTAACGGATGAGTTTGTGGCCCAACTCGCAGAGACACTGCAGGATCATCAATGTATACGCAGTGTGGATGTGGGGGATAACCCGCTGGTAACAATATACAGTGCAGATCCTGTAATTAAATTACTGCGGGCAAATAAAAATATTGTTCGTTTTGCCCTTGATGGGACGCACATTGGCACCAATGTTGCCAATCTCATCAGTGATCTCTGTGATGCCAATCATGATGAGGTGGCAAACTACTACGCAGATGATTTCTTTCGTATGAAGAATATATTTAACTATCTCGATGGAGATGGATCAGGATGGGTGTTGCTGCGCAGTCTTGTGTTAAATGCACCCTATCCTGTTTTGCAGGAACAACTTATTGAGCGAATAGCACTGCGACGACCACGTAAGCGCTCGGATGGAACCATCTCTGTAAACACATTTCTTGAACTTGTGTACTTTAACTACAAGACAGAAGTGGAGGTGGCAAAACGAGCAAAGGAAGTGGATACGGAGTATAATAATATTGTCATCAATTGGAAACGCTTGTTGGAGGTGATGGACAGTACGAAAGAAGAAGAACAGAAAAAACTCGCTGAGGCTCAGAAGAATGCTGAGATCAACAAGAAAGACCATGATGATGATGATGATGATGATGATGAGTTTGGTTCTTCAGATGATGATTTATCCAGTGTTGGTGCCACACTACCACCGAATATCGAGATTCTTCCACCAACTAATCTTCACCGTCTGCGTATTCGCACACACGAACTGCATCCATCCGAGGCACGTGAGATCATCGCAGCGGCGCTGAAGTTTCAATTGGACGCCGATGCACGCAGTCTTGCAGAAGAATCCACATCGCCCAGCAATAATAATAATACTAATAACAACAACAACAACAACAATGATGATGAGAATGATAACGAGATTGAGAAGGAAAATGAAAATGATGAGTTGGATCCAAAGGAGATGGATGCAACCACAGCCCCACACGCTCAAGAACAACAAGCACAGGAAGAAAAACAAGAACAAGGAGGATTTCGAAAGGTACGACTCTCCATTCCCTGTTTACGTCGTGCCTATCGCAGTGTGACCCAACCACAGCCACTCCCCAATCGCTATCGTTTCCTCCGCGAACACGAAGAGGATTACATTCCCCCCATCATGCGTGCGGGTTCGCGCCTCATCAGTATCTCCAAACTCTCCTTTCTCGACAGTTTCCGCTCCTCGGGCGGGATGAGTGCGACGTCGGTGACCAGCGAGGGGGTGGACTACGACGGCGATGAGACCCGCGTGCGGTGGTGGGCCCTGCCGCCGGCGATGGTGCGGCTGGTGACGAAGTTCTTCAACAAACAAGCCGCCAAACTCCCAAAGAAGCGGCAGTCAACACTCGCCATTTCCCCCCGCACACAACGCGATAACGCCATGCAGAAATCTGCCATTCCCGTCACCGCATTTCTCGCGGCGGAGTTTGTGACGGATTTGGAAACCCTGCGGCCGCGTCTGCTGGCGGATAAGTTCCTGCAGTACAGTATTCCCATTGATGTCTCCACCATCACCCTGCAGGAGATTGTGAATTGCCTGAATGAGTTCTACACGGAGATCAGCGTAGAGAAGGTCTTCACCGTCTCGCAGATTCGAAAGATGCCCACACCGACCAACACTGCAGCGGCCGCAGCGGGCGGCGGAACCACAACGGCGGGATCCGTCACAACAGAGCCACGACCCACACTGGATGTGGACTCCTCTGTATTTGGTGGTGAGATGTAAAGGAAAAGAGAAGAGAGAAAAGAAAAGAAAAAAAAAAAGAGGAAGAATGAAGGAAGGAGGGAAAAGAGGTAGAGCTATAGTATATATATATATATATATATAAAGATGGAGAAAAATGAAGAGAGAAGAAGTAGTAGTATAGGAAAAAGAAAAAGGGAAGAAGAGGAAGAAAAGGAAAAAAAGAAGGTGAGAGTGTTAAATGGAAAACGTTATGTATAGGCGTATGAAGGAAAAAGAAATTTTTGCTTTTTTTTTGTTTTTATGTTGATTTCTCTCTTGCTGTTTTGTTTTGTTTTCCATTTGTATTCTCAACTGGGAGGAGAGAAATGGGCGCCCACAACAACGCACTGCAGAATGATAGAAATGTTTGCTTCTTCTCATGGATGACGTTGTTGTTCTCTTGCTCTTTTTTTTTCTTATTGTGTGTTTTCTGTTTTCTTATTACTCACTTTTTCTTTTTTTTTATTTTACTTTTCTTCATCTTCTTCTCTCTGCTGTTATTCCTTCTTCTTTTTTTTTCTTAATTGTTTTCTCTTTTATCAGAGTGTCTCTATTGGAAATGTTTTCTTTTTTTTTTTTGCTGTCTCTTGAAAGAAATGGAACACCCACTACTCTCCCCAACATGATGTAAATGTAAACGCCATTGTAAATATACAATCAAAGGATTGTATATGTATCTATATCTATCTATAGGTATATATATATAAACGTATATTTTCACAGTTTCACTGTATGTACAGTGGCGGTGGTTATTATTATTGTTTCCTTCAAATCTCCCTCTCTTTTTCTTTTGTGTTGTACACACATACATGTACATTATTTCTATTTATCTGTATATATATATATATGTGTGTACTCTATACATACTCTCTTTTTTTTTGATATCCCATCTCTCACTCTCTCTCTCTGTATATATATATGGTAGTGCAAAGAAGCAGAAGAAACAAATAAAAAAAAATATATAGGTGAAGTGTAGTGAAAACAAAAAGAAAATAAACGACGAAAGAAAGGACTGAAGGAAAGCAGGAAAGAAAAGAAAGAAAGAAAACCAGTCAACAAGAAAGGGGGAAAAAAGAAAGAAAGAAAGAAAGAATAAAAAAAGAATATACAGAAGAAACAATAGAAAAACCAGTCAGAAATAAAAGAAATGACACACCTTTCGAGTGGCATCGTTTCCGCTTTCAATGAACTAACAGCCGCAAGAGAAGAAATGCATGCTAACAACCTTGTTAGCGGTAGCAGCAGTAAAAACAGCAGTAGTAACATCAGTCATCAACATCCTATTATGATAAGTGGAAATAAAGAAGAAGATTATATGACGATGGAGACCGGTGGTGGATTATATATGGAAGGCTGTATGGATTTTGTTATTGGGACCGACGATGATGATGATGATGATAACCTCCAGGGCAATCATGTCAACATGCTCAATCAACACCATAGTAATAACAATAACAATAACAACAAGATTGATATGAGTTTGGATGATAATAACATGGATGGGGATGTGGCTTTCATTTCCACAATGGCACTGCAGACTATCGGCTCCGACTGTGTCCCACTCGCATATCCCAATAATAATAATAATAATAGAGTGAAGGGAGAACATGTGTCGGGTCTCATCAGCGGAATGGAATCTACTTTAAATGAGACACAGCATCAACATCGACAATCCCAATCCCAACAGCAGCAGCAGCAGCAGCAACAACAATCCTCTCAACCACAACAACAACAACAATCACAAAACTTTTCAATCTCCATGGCTAATGGTAGCACCAATTCGGATCCGTTTATTTACTCCTACACAAGTTGGCAGAATCTCCCAGCCCCTGGATGTACGAATGGGGAAATATCACCAGCAGTGTCCATCACGGGAGAACCACTACTTGTGAACAATCTACAGCACGCACCACCACCACCGCCACCTCCACCACAACAATACTTTAGCGGGTTTTCGGATGGAAATATGATGGATGCCGCCGTACTTTATTCCCAACAACAACAACAACAATCTCAACAACAACAACAACACCGACAGCATCATCATCATCATCATCAACAACAACAACAACAACAACAGTATATGGATGATGCGATGATACGCAGCAATCTCTTTGTCTCTGGTCTCCATCCCAGTGTGACGGATGTGAAATTGCATGAACTCTTCCAGCCGTATGGCAGAATTGAGTCTGCAAAAGTCATGCTGGACATCCACACCGGCAAGAGCCGCGGTATTGCCTTTGTAAAGTTTGACAATGTGAACAGTGCGGAACAGGCAGTGGCGGCACTCAACAACAGTGTGCATCTCGGCGAGACGATTGCCGTTCGAGTGGCCAAACCCCACGCCGCCTATCGCCCGGGGGCACCGACGAATAAAACATTTGTGCGGAATGTTCCTCTCACTGTGAAGAAGTCTGATCTCGCCGCCCACTTTAGCCGCTATGGAGATGTCATTGATGTCTCCATCCACAGTGACACCGCCCAGCGGGCGACGAATAAAAAACGGAATGTTGTGTTCGTCACGTACACCACCAAAGAGGCCGCTGCCCGGGCTGCGCAGGAAACACACACCACCATGCCGTTTCAGGACTGCGAGGGAATTCCACTTCTCGCCAAAGTCGCAGAGGACTCCGCCCATCGCATTGAAAGACTCGCACGGCGTGGGGCTGGTCGTGGCGGTAAATCCGGTGATAACTGCGGTGGAGTTCCCCATCATCCACTCCACAACATTCCCCATCATCCCCATCACAGTATGCATGTCCCACATAAAGGAATGGATCCCTTTGCCTCCGCCAGCATCTCCTCTTCATATCCGTTTCCACCCACAACGGCACCCCCACCAACAACAACGACGGTGTGTGTTTCGCCTATTCTCACTACAGATCCATACGGCACATACACCGCCCCACCCGCAACGGCTTTTTACGCAACACCATTCATTCCAATGCCCCCCAGCTTCAATGGGGGTAATAACAGCACCACCAGTCTGCATAATAATAATAATAATCATTCCAGTAGCCCGTGCAATATTAGTGTTATCGGCAATGGCAGCAGCAGCAGTAACATCCTTAACAGCAATAACAATAACAACAACAACAACAACAACGGTAATAACCACCACAGTAATAATACGAATAGTAATAATAATAATAATAATAACAACAACGGAGGTGGTGGATTTGCTCCTATTCTCGTCCTTGGCCCAGATGCAGCACCACCACCACCACCGCCAATGTACACATCATACGATGGCTCGCTGCACTCTCCAGCTCAACACTTGGGCAACAGCACTACCAGCAGCAGTAATAATAACAACAACAACAACAATAACAATACTATAAATACTAATAATAATAATAATAACAATGCAAACGGCAGTAAATTGACCGATCACATCTCACCACTCATGATGTGCCCCACACGACACGCAGCCATGATGGCACCCACGCCTACTGTAATGTATTACATGTCCAACGGTCAAATGGCACTCGGACCACCATCGCATGCATAAACATATATGTGAGAAGCGAGAAAACACGAAAAGGGGAATGGATGAAGGGAAATACGTATATATATATATATAT